TAAAAAATAATAAATATTATATATTTTAATAATTATATATCTTATAATATTTTTTAAAAATTTTAATTAATAATTAATAAAATTTATCATATTTTATTTATAATACTTTAAAAAATTAAATAACCAAACACTAAAATAACTTTCAATCACAATTACAGTACAGTATAATCCAGTACAGTCACAGACACAGGCACAGGCATAGCTACAGCCACAGCACTTCACAGTAATCCCAAACACACCCTTAGTCTTAAGTCTAGACTATGAAATAGCTTACTCTTTAGATTAATTAGCATTTCTCAACCCGCTTTATGAGTTGTTGGGATGTATTTAGGTTCTAAAAAAAATACAAAAAATATAGTTAAAAACTTATTATTAAAAGCAAATAATAAAATATCAAAATCACATTTTGTTCTTAATAATCTGCATTGAATAATGATAATATCATCAAGTAATTTGTTAGTTGACTCTTTGATCTCTAAATAAATTATCTACTTTCTTTAATGTTGTAACAAAATAAGAAACAAAAAGAAAAGAGAAAAAAAATGAGGTCACATAAAATTTTAAATCCTATTGTTAAAGTTATATTTTCTGACAACCAAGTAAAAATTGGTGGTATTATGAGAATACCAAAACCAACTATCTGCACAAAACTTGATTTTAAAATAATGTATATAGCTATACCTGATTACTCGATTATAAACCATCATTTCCCTAGATTTAAAAGAAAAAAAAAAAACAGTAGAAAAAAAAGAATAACAAAGGATTAGAGCTTTGCAGTGTTAAGAAATGAATTGAAATCTTGCATGTGAAAAGAAAAACTATTAAAGTATGGAGATATATGGAGCAATCAATAAATATTTTATTTACTTGTTTGTTTAATTTTGTTTCAACGTGGATTCCATTTTGATCAAAATGGAATTATACTAAATAAATCCTAAAAATACATTAATATTACAAAATAATAGAAATATAGCAAAAATAATCCTTTCCAAAAATTCCTACATAGATGGCCCTCAAAACAAACTAAAATTTGCAAAATTCCCTTTAAAGAAATTTCTTCTCTCATAAGGCTATGCTATTTGCCACTTAAAAAATTGCCTCCCTTCAAGAAAATTTCTTTTCATCTCATAAAGGTATGTCATTTGCCACTTACAAAATTGCCCTCCAAAGTCAAAAATACTTTTTCTCCTCTAACATAGATATGTCATTTCTATATCCTATTCACTATTAGAGAATGAGGTGAGAGAAAGTAAGAGGATAGG